ATTCTTTCGTTTCCTGGAGGCGCCGCTTGCACCCACAGTGCAAACAGGGTGATCCTCAGTCATGGCCGTGGAGTGTTGGCTGCTAGTCACACTTGCCGGGCTCAAAGAAGCAGCAACAGCTCCTAGGGGGGTAGCTGCTACTCTGATAGAATTCAAGAGGGTCTGCTGTCATGGGGACATTGGGTAGACTTTCTTGTTTCTCGCATTGATGGGTGACTTATTCTTCCTCTTCTTCGGGTTTGGCAATTCCGGGGCTGGAAGTCCCGGAGTGATTCGGGTGGTAAGAATCAAGTTGGCCAAGATCCTGGGGCAGGCATGTGCTTTGAAGTTACTGCCTGCAAGAGCTTCGGCTGTCATAAGCTCAGGATTGCGTTCGAGATTACGTAGCACCGTGAGCATCATCTCCCTCATCCAGATAAAAGTAACGGAAGCTTTAGCAAGCTCCCTCCAGGAGTTGAGCAGGTGGTGGAGAAGGAACGCGATCCTGACCCGGTTTGATCCCGCCTCTGGTTTCACAATCTCCGGTTTGGCCATTAAATACCAGATCGCTTGATCGAACCAGATCGGTCCACCGTTACAGGTGCGGGAGTTTTTGTATCCGCATCTGCACTTGAGGTATGGGCGACCCGCATTCCACACCCTGCGGAGATTCCTTAGGTCCAGGCTAAGGGATGATGGGATCATTTTCTGCATAACCACAGGGTTAGCAAACACACATCTGGTGGGGTCCAGCACACTCAGGGTGAGGAAGGAGAGCTTGCCGCCGGAGTGCGGGGTAGCATTAGCATAGTCCAGCGTCCCCGCTAGCGCCTTCCTTCGGCATTCCTCAACTTCACTCTTCGAAAGGTCAGCTAGGAATTTCCAGCCCTTGATATTAATCGGGGCCAGGTTGTTAAAACCACTTCCTACCCATCCCCTATCCTGCTGCCGCCGTACCGTACCCTCGAGCCACTGCGCAGAGCCAATGGGAACGAAATCGTTGCTCCTGTTCCGATCCGCTCCATGCCCCACTCCCTCAGGTGGAGGAGGGGGCAGAGGTTGGTTATCCAAGAGCTGCCTCAACTCCTCCTCCGCCTCCCCCATTATCCCCATGAGCGCTTGGTCATACTCGTCCCCTCCCGTTTTAGTGTCCGTAACCTCAAGATCCCCGCCGACTTCCCAAATCTTCTTGAGGGTCTCTTCCAATCTAGTGGTTCTCCCCAATATCCCCTCGCTTTCCTTGATCAAGTTCCTTTTCTTCTCTTCTGCTTTAGCTATGTGGCCTTCCAAGATGAGGTCCACACGATGCTTTTCATGCTCATAGGACCAGGCAAGGTCGGCCCAGTCATTGAAGAGGAGGGTTTCCGTGATTAGGGGGAATAGCCCCTCGACGACCTTTTGACCGATCAGGGTTGTCATCGAAGGGTGGATGACATTGATCAGGAACTGGGTGGGTTTCGAATATGGTTGTAAGTTCGCGAGAAACGGATTCCTATCAATGTTCTCAGCCCACCACCCACCGGCCACGTTTCTGTCATACTGGGGTTCCTACTTAGGGTTACATTCAGGAGGTTAATCGTGTTCAAGGGGAGAGGTAAGGAAAAGGGGTTGGGGTAGGGAAGGGGGTATTAAGTAGTTCCATATAGGGTGGTGATAGGCGTTTGCATCATGGGGATCAATCCATGCAGACCCAAGCCACCAAACAATAGCACAAGTGCGGTAAGTACGTCATTCCCGATGCATCAATGGCCAAATCCCGAGTCGATCAGGTGGTCTTACCACAGTAGTTCACGTTGGTATGATCCGGCTCCGTGGCGCAACCGTGGGAATCAACCCATCGGTAGTAGCTAGAGGGGTGAACCTCCATGTGTGTGTCCTATACATTCCCATGACGTATCCGTCATGCACTCCACCCATACGGTGGTACGCCAAGTACGGTCATATCCCAACAATACCGTTTCCATAGCCACTAAACCCGGTGCACCCTAGTGCAGAAACAACAAGCGGCAACAGTGTCCACACGAATCTTTCGCCATGAAGCAAACAGGCTAATTACCATGAGGGTAAGGTTCGGGGATCCATTCATGTATCAGGGTATCAAGGGTCTGTGGATATCCGTCCCAGAGCACATGCTTAACGGAGGGGTTTCATTCCAATAATTTAGTATTGCTCGTTGTGGTTGGGAAGGGTTCGGATAGGGGGTAGAATATAATGATGCATGCATCAGGGTTGCAGGAAAAAGCACGAATGTGTGGTCGGTGACGGAAAATCTCTATATTAGCTGATTCCTTAGTTCAGATAAGTAAATCATTCCTCCACAAAAATATGAAAATCTTACTCAAGATATGATTTGATCGAATTTAATTTCGAAAAGATCATATTGCAGGGGGTGTGTGTCTGTGTGTGCGCGCGGCAACCGGATCATCTTCTGAGTACGCGATCAAGAGTATCAAATAGTACGTTGATACGTGGTTTCGAGCAGAGGCATTATTTCGAAAAGCCATTATTTTCTCATAATATCGTACTGTATACAAAGAAGGTCCAATCAGGGTATACCTCGGTATCGATCAGGGCGAAGGAAGAGGTTGTGAGAGCTAATGGGTGGGTAGGATCTGGTGGTGCATTCTGGGGAGTATCAACAGCTCATGATTGTTCGTATAAGGGTAAAGGAATATCTCTGCAAGGAGTAGTCATTGCCCACGCTTTAGTTTTCGGCAAGGAGGAATGTTCGGGGGCGGGATATCACTCAACATACTCGCTTCGGGTTATCGACATGATCGATGAAGGGAAGATTCCTATTGTAGGCTATTCTCGAAAGCATCTAGTGGCTTAATTAAATACTTGGTTCGTGAAGTTCAATCGTATCCGGGAGTGCCGAGAAAGGGGGTTCCATCAAACCTTATAGATCATGATCACAGGGGCAGTTCGGCCGCAATCAATCACTGCATGAGCACATCATTCAAAAATCATGGGTACTAAGGGTTCCGCATCAAATACGGGTGTGAGGGGGAGGGGGTGGGGGGTAGCATAGAATATCATCGCTATCCAAATGACAATGATAATGATAATAATAATAATGAAGGAGCTATTATTGTTGCCAGAAACCCATCAACCTTATATCGCATGCAGATTAGGAGAGATCCAATGAATAAAGTTACGTACGCAAGAAGGCCAGGTCAGGGTATGCTCTATCTGTGACCGAGACGAAAGGAAGGGTTGAGAGCAAGACGCAGAATACATACAACTGCAACAGGAAGTAAAAAAGATTCCAATGGCAAAAATCTCGTCGGACTGCAAAAAATGTCTGATAATCTGCCAGAGCAGTCCCAAAAACCACACTTCCTAGAGCTGACTAGATGGATAGATACCCAGTTCGCGTACTCAGAAACCAGGCCTGGCAGAACGTCTGGGATTACAAGGAAGGGGGCTCGGTCGATCTTCATGGATAGAACAACGCCGCAGGAGGGGTGTGGCTTCCCCTAAAAGCTTTTTCGCCGTTGCCACTCAACCGGCTCATCAGAGGGGTTATAATCCTGCAAAACAGCACATCCATTCACAGCCCAACACAGGCAGCCATATCCCTTCCCACCCACACACACATATACAGAGAGGAGATTGAGGACCATATACCGCTTCTTCCGCCACGATATCCTCCTCAGTGTCTGGCGTGATTGGCAGGTCCTCCTCCGCTCCAGTCGCGAATTCCCAGTCCGCCATGGCCGAAAGGCTCTGTCCGCTTCCAGGATCTTGATCCACCGTAGTTGCACTAGGTATAATTCCGCAGGATGCACCCGGCTTATTCAGTATCCGTACCCCAGAGGTCCGTCCACCGAGCGCTTACCACTCATCCAGGGAAAGATCGCTACATATACTCAGGGAGCGCTCAGTAAGGTCCGTAGAGGGGGCGTGGTTAACAGGAGGGAGAGAGGGAGGGGTAGATCAGTCGCATATCGGCAATCATAGGTATCCCCCCTGTACTGATAGTATGCATGTGGTGGGTGCGTGTCGTCGAGCCAACTTGTCGGGGTTCAATGGAGTCCTACCCCCATCGGTTCATCCCTGAGAATTACTAATTAGTTCCTGGGATTGCGGGAGATACGGGAAATCCCCTCGCATTCCGGGTGACGCCTAGTGGAGGGATCCGACAGTGCTTGTTTCTCCACGTGGAAGAGAAGAAGGAAAAAGGAGAATAGAAAAAAAGGGGGAAAGGGAAAAAAAGAAAACAAGAAAAAAGGAAAAACAAAAAAACAGAAAAAAAAAAGGAAAGAGAGAAGGGGAGAAAAGAAAATGGCAGGGGGAGGAAGAGCCGAGAGGAGGGACAGAAGAAACAGAAGGAACAGAAAAAACAGAAAAAACACGGGGGAGGGATCGTAACAGGTTATCGCCTCGTTCCTCGGGTGGTATCCAGGGTGGCCTGGGTGATAATTGGTTCGATCTATACATCCCAGGTTCAAGTCCTCCTAACCTAGTCTATCCCTCCCGTAGTTGCTCATGCACGAGGCTTACCATTTGGGTGGAAGGCAGGGATCTCTGCCTGTCTGTTTTTTCCGGGCTCGTACCTTGGCAAAGTTCCTCCGATTCGAAGCAGATTCGCCCTGATCCCCTTGATCCGGCGATACCGAAGGGTGATGCGGTATCCGTATGCTTAGTTCGCAGGTCACGAGCTCGAGGTCTAGCGCCCTTCCGGTGAAAGGTAGGTTCAGAGGGTGATAGCTAATTTCTTTCATTCCATTCCCCGGGGAGTTACGGACGGGTGGGTCTGTGGGCACATGCCTACTCTATTCCGTAGGTCCCGGGTTCAAGTCTGGTCAGTCTCTGTCCCCGGAAGGGTACGGGCTTTTGTCCTGGGGTATTGGTCTGCTCTGGGTCTGTCCATAGTCTCACCTGGGTCCGCATGCTCCCGAGGCTCCCCTTCGGGCCCTTTCTCTGCTGCTGCATCCCTCGAAAGTTGGTCCTCCTTGGAACCTGTATATATGTGTGTGTGTGTGTGTGTGTGTGTGTGATGATGATGTTTGGTTAAACACATTGCAGATAGCCATAGTACAACAAAGTTGAAGTCTCAATGGCCGTCTCTCAGGAGAAAGCCATGCACCTGGCAGGACCTGAAGGCAATTCTCACATGGCTCTTCAGTGGACAGAACGAATGTCGGGAGGGTGGAAGACAGAAAAAGACACGAGTACAAGACTGAATGGAAAAAAAAAAAAAAGAAAGTACAAAAAAAAAGTTAAAAAAACAGCAATGGCATTGAGAATTCCTGACAGACTGTTTCATTGGACTTGCACAGACCTATCACGAGGCTGCACCCTTGACAGTCTTTGGAAACCCTCCTGCGCATGTGACCGCTGCACAGTTCAGGATTTGCAGAAATAACAGTCCGCTGCAAGCTTGGGCGGAGACCAGTTAGAAACTGCAAGAGAAACAGTAAATGGGAGGTGGCGGTAGTGGTACCTTTCTTTTTCCCGTGGCCTGGCCTGGGAGCAGTTCCCGGTAGCAGGCCCTCCCGTTTTTTGGCTCGTTTCCCCAGGGGTGTGGCCCTGGGCCACGGGCATGGCCTAGACATCTCGGCCGTAGCCCAGCCTTGGCCGTGGCCAAGACATCTCGGCCATGGCCCAGCCACGGGTGTGGCCTAGACACCTCGGCCGTGGCTAAAGCAGGCGCAGACGGGAAAAAAAAACAAACAAACACGAGTGGCCGCCTGATTTTGCCACTTCCGAACTTCCAACTGCTAGAAGTGCACAAAGCTGTAAAAGTTCTGTTTTTGCAGTTTCTACCTGCCCTCCCTCTGCCCAGAACCGCATTGCCCTCTATTACTGTAATTCCTTCCTTCGAATTCGGAACACTGTGCAACACTCACCCGTGCAGTTATTTGTTGATGCTTTGAGTCATGATCTCCTTTAACCCCTGTTGGAAGTGGACAGCCAGCAAGTAACATAACAAGCAGCAAGGCAAGGGCAAGGGGACAAGGGATTGAGCGGCAAGTAGCAGCAAGACACATATTATGATGGAGGGCACGGGAGAGGTGGGGCAACCGAATGACAACGGAAGCACCAGGGTGGTGTTATCAGCAGCAAGGAGACAAGACAATATTAAGGCAACAAGGCTCTGAAGGGCACGAAACAGCAAGGCACATAGGCTGGAGGCCAGTGGAGGGCGGGTGGCCAGTCAAGCAAGGCAAGCAGAAGGCAACAAGGCAGCAAGGCAGTGAGGCAACAAGACAGCAAGGCAGCGAGGCAGCGAGGCAGCAAACAGAATGAATTGACAAGGCAGGCAGACGACCAGGCAAGCAGCAGTGTGAGACCTGATGAACAGCAGGGAACAAGGCGGCAAAGCAAGATGTCACTGACGCAGCAAGGCACAAGGCAGTGAGTCAATTAAGGGTACAAAGCGACAAAGCAGCGAGAAATGTGGCAGGCAAACGATAAGGAAAGCAGCAGGGCCGCATGATGAGAAACAGGGAGCAAGGCAACAAGGCAGTAAGC